CACCCACTGCCTCTCCAGTCCCCTGGGGTTAACCTAATCAGCCCTCTGTGAACTACATGACACAAATAAGTCTCACCATGGCAGCAATCATGTGACTAACCCACCCATCTGCCTGCTATCCATCACCTGACATCATCAGTACCTGCGCTTGTCTGCCCCTTTGTGATGACATGGAAGCAGACCACCACCCAATCACCTCAATGATCTTCCCCGTCTAGGGGAATGGTTAAAAGGACTCAACCACAAGCAACCAGCGGCCATTGCCTTGCTAGAGTCTGGTGTTGCCATGTGCTCTTTGAGCTATGGCTGTCACCATGCTTTCCGGCTTTGGTCCCCCTCCCCCACCCCGGGGAGGTGAATCTTCTCTCTTCCTTCTCTTTCTCTAATTTACTTTTAAATAAACTTTTCTTTCTTAAAAAAAAAAAAGAAAGAAATAGGACCCCTACCGATCATCATACACAAAAATTAACTCTTAATGGATCAAAGATCTAAACGTAAAACCTCAAATTATTAGAATCTTAGAAAACTCAGGAGACACCCTTATGGAAATTGGAACTGGCAACCAATTCCTACTCAGAACCCTAAATGCCCATACCTTAAGAAATAAGATAGACAAGTGGGACCTCTTCAAACTAACGAGTTTCTGCAAAGCAAAAGAAACCATCAAGAGAGCAGGGAGACAGACCACAAAAATGGGAAAAAATATTTGCCAACTGTATATCTGACAAAGCCCTAACATCTAGGATCTACAAGGAATTCAAATGCGCTGAAAGGAAAAAAACAAACAGTTCCATTAAAAAGTGGGCAAAAGACATGAATAGACACTTCTCAAAAGAAGACATATGGGCAGCCAACAGACACATGAAAAAATGCTCGCCTCACTCATCATCAGAGAAATGCAAATCAAAACCACACTGAGATACCACCTAACTCCAGTCAGAATGGCAATTATCAACAACTCAAAAAATAACAGCTGCTGGAGAGGGTGTGGAGAAAAGGGAACACTTCTACACCGCTGGTGGGAATGCAAACTAGTGCAACCTCTTTGGAAGACAGTGTGGCGATTTCTGAAAGAACTAGAAATTGACCTTCCATATGAGCCAGCAATTCCCCTATTGGATTCCCAGAGGAACTCAAATCATTCTACAAAAAAGATACCTACACACGTATGTTTGTTGCAGCTCTATTCAAAATAGCAAAAACATGGAACCAATCATGTCACCCATCAAAAACTGGACTGGATTAAAAAAATATGGTACATAGATACAATGGAATATTATGCAGTCATAAAGAAGGACAAACATACGGACTTTGCAGCAACTTGGATGGATTTAGAGTTGATCATACTCAGTGATCTATCACAGAAACAAAGAACAGAGTACCATATGTTCTCACTCATAGGCGGACCTTGAAGAATTATAATACTAAGAAAGGGACTGGAAGTAGTGGGAAACTGTCAGGCAATGGAGGTGGGATTGGCAAGTGAGGGAAACTGCTGGGGGGGGCATACCTCATCAACAAGGGTACCTGTATAATCAACGTTTGTATACCTAACCCTGAATTGTACCCCATATCTTTATCATATAAAAATAATTTTAAAAAGACAGGTTTTCACTCATTTAATCTCTGCTCCCTCTTAAAACCTCATTAAGGATTTTTTAAAAATATATAAACCCAGAAGGGTAAAAACAAAGATAGAGAGTAGATGAGATATGCCAACAGACTTTCTTAAATTGAGAAGATTAGGAGGAACCAACCCGTCCAGGGAGAATGGAAACATGCTAGCTGTGGAGAAAACCTAGAGAAAGACAGATATATATTTATGGAAAGCCTACAAAGATCAGAAATGAAAGGCATAAAGCACCTGAAAAGAGGACGTTGAGGTAGAACCAACCAATAGAAAGTTATTAAAAGTATGTATACAAAGTAGTGAAAACAAAGAACCCATCCCAACCCTATCAGATTAAATGTTTACTCTCTTGAGTTTCTGAATCTGAGACACTCAATTTAGTGACAGGAGACACAGTTAAAGATAAGGGTAATACACTAAAAACACAGACATTGAGCAGGAGCATTCAAACTGCACTTTCGCTTTATCCCCAACTGGCTGAAAACAATCCCAGTTGGAATCAGACTGCCCAGCAGCAGAGAATTTTTTTTTTATCAAAAAAATTTACCAAACTGGCTGGATGTGGTGGCTCATACCTGTAATCCCAGTACTTTGAGAGGCAGTAGGCAGGAGAATTGCTTGAGTCCAGGAGTTCAAGACCAGCCTGGGCAACACAGCAAGACCTAGTCTCTACAAAGAAAAAGCCAGCCAGGCTCGGTGACTCAGCCTGTAATCCCAGCGTTTTGGGAGGCTGAGGCAAGTGGATTGCCTGACCTCATGGGTTCAAGACCAGCCTGGGCAACTTGGCAAGACCTCATCTCTACAATACATCAAAAATTAGCCGGGCATGGCAAAGCATGCCTGTAGGTTCAGCTGCTTGGAAGGCTGAGGCAGAAGCACTGCCGGAGCCTAGCAGGTCAACACTGCAACAAAGTGGGACTCCAACTCCAAAAAAGAAAGAAAGAAAAAAAGAAAGAAAGGGAAGAAAGGGAAGAAAGGAAGAAAGGAGGAAAGGAAGAAAGGAAGAAAGGAAGAAAGGAAGAAAGGAAGAAAGAAAGAAAGAAGGAAGGAAGGAAGGAAGGAAGGAAGGAAGGAAGGAAGGAAGGAAAGAAAGAAAGAAAAAGAAAGAAAGAAAGAAAGAAAGAAAGAAAGAAAGAAAGAAAGAAAGAAAGAAAGAAAGAAAGAAAGAAAGAGAAAAGTTCACCACGCCTGCAGTCCCACCTACTCGGGAGGCTGAGGCAAAGGATCACCTGAACCCAGAAGGTCAAGGCTGCAGTGAGCTGCAAGCATGCCACTGTACTCCCCAGCCTGGGCAGCAAAGTGAGACACTGACTCTAAAAAAAATAAAATTCACCAAAATGTACACTTAAGATTTGGTATTTTAATGTATTGTATTTCATAAGAAAACAAAAATGAATGCGTATCTTAAAACTTTCACAAAGAGAAAACTCGCTGTGCATTCTATCAAACATCTAAGAAACAATACTGATTTATAAAAACACTTCAGGAAAACAGAAAAAGAGAAAACACTAATATCATATTACAAGGACAGAATAAACACAGAGTGGAACTTTGATTTTCAACACATATTATTTCTTAACATTTAAAACTACTTTAGCTAAATCTCACAAGTTTTGATGTCATATTTTTGTTACTATTTGCTTCATAATATTTTATATTACCATCATGCTCTCTCTTTTGGCCCAAAGTCATTTGGAAGTTGTCTGCAATGAACCTCTGCTTTAGAACAGCATGCAGTAACAGAGACCAGATTCACCCCTTGCCTGAAACAATTTAAATAACAGACAGAATATACAAGATTCTCCAGAAATCTGACTTCAAACAACAAAGGAGATTGATCCTGGAGAGACAGGAAACAAACAAAGTGAACTTTCTATCACTCCAGTTTACATCCTGGAAAGGAAGGGAAAAACCCTCAGTGAGGAGCCAAGACTGGGGATCCAGGAAGGCCAAGGTGGTTAGAATTTGCAGGGTGAAGTACTGGACAAGAGACAGCTACACAGAGAAAGAACTCCAGAACAAAAGTTCTCCTTAAAGCATTACATTAAATTTTGATCAGAGACTGTGTTGTGAGAAAACCATGTAAGGTCAGGAAAAGAAGCACACAGGCACAATCCTCTCAGGCACACAGGACCTAGAATAATGCCTGTACCTATCAGCCAGAGTGGAAAACCTCCATAAGTCAGAGGACACTGAGTACAGCACACAAAAGAATTCTGCCTCAGAAGTGAAGAAAATTAGCTACAGGCTATATGTTGCTAGTTCTTATTTCCATAGCTCTCCATTATCTCTAAATATAATTTGTTTCCATTTTTTTTAATCGGCCTGTGATCTACTGTACAAGAGCAATCTCCAGCATAACCTTGATACCAAAGCCCTACAAGAACAATTTAAGAAAAAAAAAAATTATATATAAACACAGATACAATTTCAATATTAGCAAACCAAATAAAAAAAGGTTAAAACTTTATGACCAAATCCAGTTTATTCCAGGAAACTTAAAGTTGATTTAACTTCCAAAATTCAATGTAATTTATCACATTACAGAAGGCCGCTCAATTCTGAAAAAAAATGACTGTCTGCATTCCTTAAATTCAAGAGCTATACAAGTTTAATACATTGATTGCCTGTTTGCAATTGTTTTAGTGAATGTTATTTCTAGCATTATACAATTTTTCTAATTAATGCTGTAATTTTTTAATAATTTGCCTTATATCAATAGTTTCAAAAACTATTCCTCCGAGTCTGCTATTGAGTATAGTTACGTCAACCAATACCCTTAAAATAAGCAACAAAGATTAATTCCCTATATGGCAATGGAGTACCTTCATTTTTCAGAAAATAATCAAACTTGCCAACCTGATTAGCAATTTCAATAGCTGCCCACACTCCTAAAAACCTAATTTAAGTGTTATTTTAAGAAAAATGAAAAATAGGGCCAGGCACGACAGTTCACTCCTGTAATCCCAGCACCTTGGGAGGCAGAGGTGAGAGGATTGCTTGAGCCTAGGAGCTCAAGATCAGCCTAAGCAACCTAGCAAAACCTTGTGTCTACAAAAGTCATAAAATTAGCAGGGCATGGTGGTACGTGCCTAGGAAGCTGAGCAGAAGCATCACCTGAGCCCAGGAGGTCAAAGCTGCAGTGGGCCATGATCATACCAATGCATTCCAGCCTGGATGACAGAGCGAGATGAGAGAGAGAGAGACTGTCACAAAATACCTCCAAATTTTAGAGAAAGTTAATGGAAACATAGACTTCTCTTTCAAAAATAAAACTTAAAAACTTAACTAAAATGTACATATATATATATTGTGTATAGCTTCATTCCTTAAAATATTAAACCTATACCAGTTCTCCCTTATGACTTACCTCCTTGCTTGGTGACTGAATACAAATGTCCTTTATTTGGGGTGTTGAATAAACCATCGATTTTGTAGAATTTGTGCTAAAATCATTGGCAAGGCCTAAAAAATATAAAATTTTTTAAAACAAAATATACTGTAATATCTATTAGTTACAATTAAAAGTATCTCTATATGATATGTGAAAAACAGTCTGTTGATTTTTTAAACATAATTAGCGTTAATGAAATACAGACATCAATTCAATATTCAGATGTTCATGAAAGGCATCAGGAAATGAAAAAGGCAAAAAAGATTCCTGAAGAAGTACGTGGCAGCTCTTCTTTCAGAGTCTGTGTAGAGGAGATACTTTTCTACCACCTGTTGTTATTTCTTTGACTGACTTATTCTTATTCTAAAAGCTTCTGAGGCTGCTCAGCACAAAGAAAAGTTTTAGCCATAATTCACTTCCTTAGAAAAAGATGTTCAAGTCTGGGTGTGGTGACTCATGCCTATAATCCTAGCACTTTGAGAGGCCAAGGCAAGATGATTGCTTGGCCCATGAATTCTAGACCAGAATAGGTAATATAGCAAGACTTAGTCTCTACAAAAAGATTTTTAAAAATTAGCCAGGCATGGTGACACACGCCTGTAGTCCCAGCTATTTGGGAGGCTGAGGCAGAAGGATTGCCTGAGTCCAGAAGGTCAAGACTATAATGAGCCATGTCCATGCCACTGGCCTCCAGCTTGGGTAACAGATTGAAACTCTGACTCAAAAAAAAACCAAACTTATTCTATTAAAAAAAAAAAAAAAGATGTTCATCACCAAAGACTATCTCAAACACTATTGATCCCAAGAATTCTGAACATATATTTCCATTATATAAAATACTTTCTCTTCTAACATCACATCTGAAGGAACTAGAAAAACAAGAACAAAGCAAGTCCAAAGTTAGCAGAAGAAATCACAAAGACCAGAGCAGAACTAAATGAAATTGAAATTAAAAAAAATACAAAAGATCAATGAAACAAAAAGTTGTTTCTCTGAAAAGATAAAAATTGATAAACCACTAGTTGACTAATTAAGAAATAAAGAAGGAAGATTCAATTTAGCTTAATCAGAAATGAAAATAGAGACATTACAACTAATACAACAGAAATTCAAAAGATCATCCAGGGCTACTATGAACATCTCTATATAAAACAAACTAGACAATCTAGAGGAAACTGATAAATTCTTGTAAATATATAAAGCCCCAACCTTGAATCAGGAAGAAATAGAAACCCTGAACAGCCAAATAACGAGTAGCCACATTGAAACAATAACTAGAAATCTAAGTCCAGGACCTGATGGACTCACAGCTGAATTCTACCAGACTTTCAAAGAACTGGTATCAATTTTACTGAAGCTATTCCACAAAATTGAAGAGGAGGGAAGCCTCCCTAACTCATTCTATAAGGCCATTATCACTCTGATACCAAAGCCAGGAAAAGACACAACATAGAAAGAAAACTACAAACCAATATAGATGTAAAATAGATGCAAAAATTCTCAAAAAAATTAGCAAACCAAATTCAACAGCACATTAAAAAATAGTAATACACCATGACCAAGTGGGTTTTATTCCCACTGGTCATACAATGTGGTTCACCATACACCAGTGAATAAATCTGATTCACCGCATAAACAGAAGTAAAAACAAAAACCATATGATCATTTCAATAGATGCAGAAAAAGCATCTGACAAAATCCAGCATTCCTTCATGATAAAAACCCTCAGCAAAACAGCCACAGAGGAAACAATCCTCAAAATAATAAAAGCCATACATGGCAAACCCACAGCAAATGTCATCTTAAATGAAGAAAAGTTGAAAACGTTTCACCTCAGAATTGGAACAAGGCAAAGATGTCCACTTTCACCACTCTTATTCAATATTGTACTGAAAGTCCTAGCCAGAGCAATCAAGCAAAAAGAGATAAAGGATGTCCAAATTGGGAAAAAAATAAATCAAACTATCTCTGTATGTTGACAATATGATCTTATACCTAGAGAAACCTAAGGACTCCTCCAAAAGACTCCTGGACTTGATGAATTCAGTCAAGTTTCAGGATACAAAATCAACACACACAAATCAGTAGCACTACTATATACCAGTAGTGACCAAGCTGAGAAACAAATCAAGAACTCAATTCCATTTACAATAGCTGTCAAAAAGCTACAATACCTAGAAATACATTTAACCAAAGAGGTCAAAGATATCTACAAGAAGAACTAGAAAACTCTGATGAAATAAATTATAGAAGACATAAACAAATGAAGAAACATCCTATGCTCATAGATTGAAATAATCAACATTGTTAAAATGACCATATTACCCAAAGTAATATACAAATTCAATGCAATCCCTATCAAATTACCAACACAATTTTTCACAGAATTAGAAAAAAAAAATCCTAAAATTCATATGGAACAAATATAGAACATTAGAGCCAAAGTAAATCATAAGCAAAAAGAATAAAGTGGGAGGCCTCACATTGCCTGACTTTAAATTATACTACAAGTGGTACCAGTACGGGAGCAGACAAATGGACCAATGGAACAGAAGAGAGAATCCAGAAGTAAACCGAAATACCTCCAACCAGCTCATCTTCGACAAAGCAGACAAAAACATACACTGGGGAAAGGGCACCCTATTCAACAAATGGTGTTGAGAAAATTGGACAGCTATGTACAGAAAAATGAAGCTTGATCCTTATCTCTCCCCATATACAAAAATTAATTCAAGGTGGATTAAAGACTTAAATGTCAGACCTGAAACCATGAAAGTCCTAGAAGAAAACCCAGGAAAAACTCTTCTGGGCATCGGCCTAGGCAAAGACTTTATGGCTGAAACCTCAAAAGCGAATTGCAACAAAAACAAAAATAAACAAGTGAGATCAAATTAAACTAAAAAGCTTCTGCACAGCAAAAGAAGTAATCAACAGAGCAAACAGGCAACCTGTAGAATGCAAGAAGATATCCACAAACTATACATTTGAGAAAGGACTAAATGGCCAACAAACATATGAAAAAAATGCTCAACATCACTCATCAGGAAAATACAAATCAAAACCACAATGAAATATCAACTTACACCAGTCAGAATGGCCATTATTAACACATTCATGACTGGCAAATTTTTTACTTTCCTAACACTAAGAGTAGATGAAAATACAAAAAAATCTGAAGTTGGTAGCCATAAACTTCTGTCGTTAAGCAAAAGTGAAACGGTCTTTTCAAAACTGTCACCTTTTTCACAATACAGCTGAAAATGCAGACATATCCCATATATGCCTCAGACACCACTGAAAAGTATTTTGTACTTTGTATGTTTATTCGGATTATAAACCTGAAAAGAATCTTCCACAATGAGGTATATTCACATCAGTGGCAACCAGGAGCAGAATTTGGAATGATGTAAATTCAAGTCAGCAGTTGTGAATGAGCTATAAAAACAAAAACAATAGATGTTGGTGCAGATGCGAAGAGAAGGCAATGCTTACACTGTTGGTGGGAGTATAAATTAGTACAACCCCTATGGAAAGTTTTATGGAGATTTTTCAAACAACTAAAAGTAGATCTACCATTTAATCCAGCAATTCCACTACTAGGTATCTACCCAAAGGAACAGAGTTTGTTTTTTTATTTTAAGTTGGAGTCTTACTCTGTCACCCAGGTTAGAGTGTAGTGACATACTCACAGCCACCCCAGTGTCAACCTGATGGGCTCTGGTGATCATTCTGCCTTAGCCTTCCAAGCAGCTGAAACTACAGGTGTGCGCTATCATGCCTGGCTAACTTTTGATTTACTGTAGAGACGAGGTCTTGCCAAGTTTCCCAGGCTGGTCTCGGTCAGGCAATTCACTTGCCTCGGGCTCCCAAAGTGCTGGGATTACAGGCTGAGCCACCAAGCCCAGTCAGAGATGGTTTTATAAAAAAGATACCTGCCTGAGCCCGCGGGTTCGAGACCTGCCTGGGCAGCGAGACCTCATCTCTACAATAAATTAAAAAATCAGCCGGGCGTGGTAGCGCATGCCTCTAATTCCGGCTACTCAGAAGGCTGAGGCAGAAAGATCACCGAAGCCCAGCAGGCGAGGTTGCAGTGGCCGGGAGCGGCCACTGGACTCCAGTCTGGGCAACCGAGAGAGACTCCAACTCAAAAAAAAATAAAAAATAAAAAAAAGATACCTGCACTCTCATGTTCATCACAGCACTATTCACAGTTGCAAAGATGTGGAATCAACCTAAATACCCCTCAACCAATCAGTGGTTAATGAAAATGTGGCATATATACAATATGGAATACTATTCAGCCATCAAAAAGAATGAAATAATGTCTTTTGCAGCAACTTGGATGGAACTGGAGAACACCACTCTAAGTGAACATAGAAAATGGTTTAATGGACACTGGAGACACAGAAGGGAGAAGAGAAGGAATGAAGGGATGAAAAATCACCAATTGGGTACAATGTGCACAGATGGGGGTGAAGAGCACATAAAAAGACAAGACCAAAACTATCTCTTCTCTCTAAAACTACTGAAATTGAAAAAAATAATAAATTAAAAAAAAAATACTTTCTCTTGTATATGATAATTATGTATGGATTTCCAAACTACAGGAATCTAATGTGAATTGAAGGTGATGACAAATTACTGTCAAATTATTTTCATTTTTGTGAGTAGCATCCTAAATATTCCAGAAGGTACATGAAGGATTGCATATGAGTTCAAAATTCTAAGGAAAATATTATATATATAAATATACACACATTTAAATACTAGAACATATTTGCTGTGTTTGATATGAATATGACAAATTTCTATTTTCACCCATCCCAACACTCAGACTCCATCTAAAAATAACCTTACTTTTTTCTTCAAAACAGTCTTGTAAGATTTCCAGGATGTTCTGGCCTTGCTCTGTGTTAATGTCAGGTGCCCTAATAAGAAAGAAAAAAGGCAAAATGTAACCTGTCACTTTCATAAGATATTTGTTACTTACGTTACCATTTATTTTTAAATTCCGTATCTCCTGATTATAAAATGTTAACTTAATAGATAAAACATATTTAATATTTGAAGACAAAACAAAATTCTTAAGGGTCCAAGAGTTAACTCAAGTGAACTCTTCCCTTCATAATGAGAATTATGAAGTAGTATGTTTTATTCTACCCTGACAATTATATTCCTTAGTTGAACAGTCATGTCTAAAGCAGTTTTAGATTATTGCTGCATCTCAACAAGATCACACTTTTCTGAATGAATCCAATCAGTTCTGAAATGCTTCTTTAACTAAGACTTTAAAGAAAAGTCCTAACATCTCCAAGTGACATATTCCTCCCTATAAATTCTCATGTGCACTTCTGATTCAATATCATTAATCTTAACAGTAGCTTATGAATGTAGTATAAAATTTTTAATTAAAAATTATATTAAGATTGTAGATTCACAAGGAATGAAAAAATAATACAAAAAGTCCTTGTTCACTTTACCCAATTCCCCCCATTTTGCAAAACTATGGAATAACATCACAACCAGGATACTGATATTGATACCAATCTTATTCGGATTTCTCCTATTCCATTTGTACTCATTTCTATTTGTGTTTATGTTTGTGTATATTTAGTTCTATATAATGTATCACACCTGTAGGCCTAGATAGCACATCAGAGTCAGGATACTGGACAGTTCCATCACTACAAAGATCTCTCTATTGCCCTTTCATAGCCACACCCAGTTTTCATCACCTTCCTGCATACTCTCATCCTCCCATTCCTAACCCCTGGCAACCACTAATCTGTCCTCCATTTCTAATACTGTGTCACTTGAAAAAAATTATATGTAAATGAAATCATATAGTATAGAACCTTTGTATTAACTTTTTTCACTCACCATAAATCTCTGGAGATTCACCCAAGTTGTTGTATATATCAACAGTTCATTCCTATTTGTGTGGAGTAATGTCCCATGCTATATGTGTATATGTGTACTACAGTGTTTAACCACTTACTTATTGAAGAACATCTGTTTTTCAAACAGTACAAAAGTTTGACATGACTTCTAACAGGGTTGGCAAACTTATGCTTAAAGGGTTAGACAGTAAATACTTAGTGTTTTGCAAACCATACCATCTGTCACTACTCAACTCTGCCATTCTAGCTTGAAAGCAGCCAGATAATATCTACAGGCATGGCTGTGTTCCAATAAAACGGAAACAAAACCTGTTACAAAACCTTTAGCCAACTTACCAGTTGTAGTTTACTGACCCCTGATCTACAACATTCATATTATTATATTATTATACCATATTAAATTATTATACTCTTGAGAGTTTGAAAAGTACTATGGCTGGGTGTAGTGGCTCATACATGTAATCCCAATGCTTTGGGATGCCAAGGCAAGAGGATCGCTTGAGGCCAGGAGTTCAAGACCAGCCTGGGCAATATAGCGAGACTCCGTCTCTACAAAAAATGTTTTACGAGTAGCTGGGCATGATGGCATGCACCTGTATTTCCAGCTACTCAGGAGGCTGAAGCAGGAGCATCCCTTAAGCCCAGGAGTTCAAGGTTGCAATAAGCTATGATCATGCCACTGCACTCCAGCCGGGGTGACAGAGCAAGACCCTATCTCTGAGAAAGAAAAGTTTACTACATATGAAGTAACTCAAGATGTAAAGCCACAGTGCATTATCAGGTTATCCACCACAGAATTTTATAACCGAAAGATCTCAGAAATCACCTACTCCAAAAATTACCACCCAAATATATGCATAAAATTACCTTTGGAGCTTTCTGGAAATACATATAATTGGTCATTTTCCCCAGACCAATTGAATCAGATTTTCTAGGATGATCTGGATAATTCTTATGTGCAAATCTGGTTGAAAACCACTAATTGAATCCTATGCTCCCATCTTGCAGATAGAGAAACTGAAACCCAGATTGGTCAAATGACCTGCCTAAGTATGCAAAACTACTTAGTATTAATAGCAGAGTTTATACCAGAATACAGATTACTATTATTATAAATTCTAGCCTTGATATCGCCCTAGACCACCACATACAGGTACATACAGTGTACAACTATAAATATACCCCTGCTATCACCTATTTCACAGAAGAGATCCAGACAGATCCAGTGACTTGCCAAAGGTGACAATGCTGAGATACTATTGAACACAGGTCACCAGTATATAGTTTACACAAATTGTCAAACAGGAATTCTAACTGATAAAGCATGGATGTACTCTTCTGGCAGTTACCAAATTATTTTACTTTATATAGCAGAAGAGACTTTATACAGTCATTTGATTTTAAAGAATCACTTTTTTTTCAAATTCAATCATTTGGGGAAAACAAATCACTAACAGTCACTTACAGTCATCTACAGTTTCTTGAGAATTTTTTCCAATTCACTTTTTCATCCCTTCTTATTTATAACCTTAGCATAAAAGCACCCATCATAGATTACAATCCCTATATTAAACTATCCCTCAAACATCAAAGTACTCTTCTTTGCTGTTTAAAAATGTGTGTGGTTTACATCTGATAGGCCTTAGTCCAAAGAGGATTTAAGACCGCTTATTCATACCTATATTAGATGCTTAAAGCCTAACACATCCATTTTCTGGCTTTAGCCAATTCATATAGTCTTGTTTTCTACTTCCATTGAACATATTCACCTTCTTAAACCAGGTCTGTCTCCTGCTGCACCGTAATATGTTTTCCTACTTTGGTTCCCTTATTAATGAAATTTTCTATGTCTCAAATGCATTATACCTTAGTCTTTAAATCTCTATTCAAGGTTCACCCACATTATACTATAACTTTAAAACTTTCCTTAATATCAACAACATACAAATCCCTTCCTAAGCTCTTACATGCTGTCTATACTGCAAGTTAATGTCTAATTATATCTAGGTCTATTCTCAGTGACATAAAAATCATTACTTCGCTATATTATAATAATTATATTTTTATTCATTAAATCTCACAAATGTACATATACATCTTCCCAATGGGAATGAAAGCTGTTTGTGGGTAAAAGGACACATTCCTCTTTCTATGAACACTGGCCCTACTAAAGTCCAATAACAAACAAATAATGAGACGTTATATCAACAATAACATCTTTGGCCATGTTTTCGTTTCCCTAAGCTCTGGCCTCCTCCTCTGCCTTGGGAAGATGACTCTCCTTTCTCTCTCTCACTAATCTGTTTTCTAGATAAACTACACTTTCCAATCTAAATAATAATAATAATAACATCTTCACTTTAAAAAGTATGCTTTTTCAGCTCAATATGGTGGCACATATCTCTAACTCAGCTACTCAGGAGGCTAAGGCAGGAGGACTGCTTGAGCTTAGGAGTTCAAGACTAGCCTGGCAACACAGTGAGACCCCCATCTCCACCCCCCGAAAAATGCTTTTCATCCTATTTCTATTAAATATTTAACTAGAAAACCTAACTTTACATATTTACAAATAAAAGAACTAAAGCAACCCAAATAAGCACTCAACAAATAAATGCATATTATTTTTCTTTTTGCCCCACTGAATAAGCTATATCTTTCTAAATTTTACCATTTGATTCATCCTACAAAGTGCTTTTCCCATGGCTGTCACTTAGAACTGAGATTACCTTCTCCTGGTCCATCATTTTATCAAATGAATTTCTTTTCTCACTGCCACTAAGTCATTGCACAGTTCACACTAATATTTCTCTTGTTATTACAAAATAACTAAAATGACTACACTTAATCAGTGGGCATAGAAATCATTATTCCAGCTACAGGCGATAGTTTATCCTTTCTTCATTTAAAAATCCACTTTGTGAAGATGGGAATAAAAATCATCTTTAAAAGCTTAATATGCAAATCACCTGGAGGGTCGACAGAATCTTCTTCTGTAGCCATTTTTAAGATGATTCTGAAAGAAAAGTAAATCATCAGTTTGGTTTCTTTGTTTAAAACATATTCATATACAATATCCATTCCCTCATTCCTTTCATGTATGAGCTGGGATCTCGTTCTCACGAGGCTGGAGGGCTGGAGTGCAGTGGCACAATCCTAGCTCGCTGCAGCCTTGAACGCCTGGGTTCAAGCGACCCTCCTGCTTCAGCCTCCCCGAGTGCTAGGATGACAGGCGAGCGCCCCGGGGTCCGAATACAACTCGCCTTCAGAGCAGCATCACGCCCCCATGGGCATCCCACACTCCAAACATCTCCGGAGGGGTGTCGTGGGGGGCGGCGCCCTCAGGTGAGAAACGGGAAAGTACCAGAATGACTGAGGCTCCTCCCCTAGCGGATTATGACACAAAGTCAGAGGTTAGCATCAAGAGCCTCAAAACCGACCTGAGGTTATGACAGGGACCCCAACAAGCGAGCGGTGGGCATTCGGCACGCTGTGCCCCCTCTCCCCCGCTGTCGAGAGAGGCCATCCTGCCTTTTCCGGGTTATACATCGACGTAAGCCATGTGGGTGCTCATCATAAAAAGACTTCCGCACAACCCCTTAGGCTTACGCGACCAGCGTCACACCAAGGGCGGCCGTCGAAGGCGAAGAGCTCCTTAGAGGGGAGAGGCATTGGAAACGAGAGGGTGTGGGCTTGACAACAGACAGTAGTCATAGGCAACGTGTGAAACGCAGGATGGCTGAGACAGAGGAAGTCCAGAAGCCGGGAGCAAAGACGGGGCCCCGCCCGCGAGCTCAGCCCGGCCCGCGCCTTGCGCCGAGAGCTGCCATTCCTGCAGATGCCCCCGTTAAGTGTCAGTTTCAAAAACCGCACACGAAGCTCCGCTTCGTGGCGGGAGAAGTGAGAACGCCCGGTTATCTCGAGACCTAGCTGTCAGAGAGTCCACCCGTTTCTCCAGACCAGCAGGTACGACGCAGAGGCGGCCTCTGGGCGGAGCCGTTTTTGGAGGCCTGGGAGGTGGCACTAGATTGTAAGGGCGGACATTCCGCTCAAGGACTGTCTCCGGGAAGAAACCCGCAGTTACAGACGAAAACACGGCACTCAAAGTCAAGGAGATGAGCAAAGCACAGCGAATTAACTCTGCCTCTCGACT